TGATCGTTTGATCAAGTCGGTGCACGAGAGGAGCCCTCCCATAATCATGTCGATACGTCGGCAGAGCGAAGAAGGGGGTGTGTGATCGTCTTCACGGTCGCGCTTTGCTTCCTTTCCTTCTCGTTTCGAAGATGGATGATCAGCATCGGATCTTCTGTCTCGATCATTCTCGGGTCGCCTATCCTTATCATCATCAGATTGCGGTGCTTGGCTTCGAGGTTCCGGTATGCTGCACTCACCAGCTTCCCAAGCCTTCCGCAAGTGGGCCGGAAGAGTGCGGCAATTGTCGGTGTGGTGGTTGTGCACCTTGTAGTATTTGCACCACGGCTTCTTACTATCTGGGTCTCTATCGTTCGAACGGTCCCAGACGTTCCACCTCTTTGGTCGTCCGACGGCGCTGACATTCTTACGACTCTTGTTGTCCTTGTCGTAATGTTGACGAGGCTCTTTGTAGTCGTCTTGATTCAACGATCTGGTTTTCTTGTCGCGCGAAGATTTCTCGTCGGCCAACTTGGCCTTGGCCTGGGCCACCCGATCTTCTTCAACCCTGATATAGCCGGTTGCCTTATGCAAAGAGTTTTATAGGGTTATGATTTTTCCTGTTTTCAATCGCTCGCAGTACGACGAATCGTCTCTCAAGTTCCTGATAAGAATGTTGAGGGAGAGCTCGTCTGATAAACTGCATCGGGAAACGATCGATCGGAACCGATCGATGAAGTCGTGCAATAGCTCCGTGTCGCTCTGGATGCACGCCCATAGATCGAGTGCAGTGGACTCCGTCTCGATGTAGATCGAGTAATGCTTAAGGAACCGAGCTGTGAGTTTCTTATAGCTATCAATGGAATTTTTGGGAAGCTGCAAGAACCATGTGAGGGCGCTTCCGGAGAGCGTCTCTACAAAGTACTAACAGAGGCATGCTTCCCGCTCCTCGTCGGTAAAGCGAGCTCGCCCCATGACTGCGTTGAACACGGTTAGGTGTCGCTTCAGGTCTGTCGTACCGGTGTAACTTAGAGGTAGCTTCATCCGGCCTATATCCTTGAGAGGAGCATTGGTGATGGCCGACGTGAACAGGGTCTGCTGTGTTTGCTGGAGGATCTTATCCAACTCTGGTGCTGAGGTCATCGCCTTTTGGATCCTACTGTTGATATCGTCAAGGCGTTGATGGAGGAGGTCGAGCTCTGAGATCGTCATCAGGTCGGTACCTGTGGTGTTACGAGACGAAAGTGCGTTAGAGCCTTCCATCTGTGCTCTCTGCAGGTCGTCTGTCGGTGTGGTGCCGAACAGGTTGTTGACCAATCTGGTCGTATTGGCGTTGCGGATTGGCGGGCGCGGCGGCGTAATCAGATCGGCCATCTCTTGGGTATGAACCTTAGAGTTGAGAAGCCGATCTAGGTCTTCTCGGTAGGTAATCTGCTCGACACAGAGGGATTCGAAGCGAGCATCCAATCCCTGCTGTAGCTGTGCTGTGACTGATCTGATGATGGTGGCCATGTCGATGGGAGGCGGTTGTGGCAGGTCGGTCGTGTTTGCTCCACCAGTCTGGACGACCTGATCAGTCGTGCCTGTCGTGTCGTCTTGCTGATCGGTTTGATTGATCACTGGGAGTCCAGTGACTGGGTCGACGACCACACCCTGGGCGTTTCTTATTGGATCGACAGCTCCCCTGCAAGATCGGTGGATCCTCCGGTGAGGTCGGTAGCTCCCGTGGTTAGGTTGGTGGTATCAGGGTTGATCGGTGTTCCAACCATCTTCAAGCTCCGTTTGTTGACAAAGATTGCTCTCTTATTCCCCTCAGACGGCGCCAAACTGTAAAAACTCATGTTTGACTTATAAGAGAACTAGGGTTTCTGGGTTTAAAGAGATATCTTATTAGAATGAGCAGGAGCTTTGATAGAATACACAGAGGTTTAGGTCGTCAGAATAAGAACGCCAACCTAATTTTTTAAGGAAAGTAAATCGAGAGATAGAACAACAAGATATGCTTAGTTTTCCCTAGGTCTCAAGATGTGATTTTTGGATGATTTTAAAAGTCGATAGACTTTCCATATTTATAGCTGATCAGGTCGGTCTTCGATGTGCGTTTAGAATAGGAAAGTTTTTTTGCCGACAAGAATGAACTTCCTTTTTTTCCAAATTGTTTAATAAATGGAAAATTTCTATTTATTTTACCGACCTGAAACTTGTTAGATGGACCAACCAAAATTTATATCGGGCTTGTAGAGATGGTGCGAATCTATCTCTAACAAAGATTATAAATCAAAGTTTGATATGCTCCGAGACCATGACCAGAACATTCTTCTTATGACCTCTTTTTCTAATCTATTAATAACTGAAAAATATAGTCATAACAATAAAACACAACTATCAATTTTTCGAAAATTTATGTTTTGAGTAATTGAAACGTACTTAACTTTACAGAGTTATATATATATATATATATATATATGTGTATGTATAGTAGTTAAGTCCCGACATGGTTGGGAAATCATCCTTTGCATATGATATGCGAACCTACCATATTAGTTGAGAGAAGCTTACATGGGGTAGAAACAGTAATGGGCTGTACTGGACCTATTATATGTTCTGGTTCAACAAAATTAAGCTACTATTATTAATCCTTCCCATTTGGAATAAGCAACGAGAAGAAGATGCCTTGAAGAAGGTTGTGATTCGCAAAATCTTATCTTAACCAAGATTCGGATTAATAACCAAAATTTGAATCCGCCATATGTTACTTTTACAAAAAAAAAAAAAAAGTTAAAAATGTAGATGATACTCACGTATTATGTCAACATGATGTAATTTAGATGTTCGAAAAGTCAAGCCAGGCTGAAAGGCGAAAGAGATGGTCCTACAACAGAGAGATTAAATAGAAACAAACAGTTGCCAAACTATTAAAAGCACGAAAAAATAAGCAAAATGCAACCTGAAATATATAAAAAAAAAAATCTGAAAAAATGCTGAGCACATGCCACTTCGAAGGCGAGGAAGTCATTTTGACCAAATCCAGACCATATATCTCGAACCGGGGGGCAAACCAACTTCTGAACTTGAAGGCACGACTTGACTTTCGAATTAGACTTCTTCTTTGAATCTGTTAGCTGGTCCGTTTCTCCAACACTGCTTATTAAGTACTGTAACAAAAACTTTGAAATTACAAAAACGTACAGCTTTATTTTTACAGTAAAATAACTAAAACTACAGCACTAACCAATCAAGTTTTACATTTTTGTTACTTCAAAAGTTTTTGTTACAGTATATTCTTGTTAAATTTGTGTTTTAGCCTTTTAGGAAACGCATTTTAGTTTTCTTGCGAATCACAACCTCCATGAAGGCATCTTGTGAAGCTAAAATATTTTAAATGATATGATACAATTTCTACATATTAACCAAAATGAAAATAAAAATAAACTAGGTGAAGGTTGATGGATGAGGCCTGAACGCAAAAAAAGGCCAAATCCGCACAGACTTTTGGGCATCTGATTACAAAAATGATAAGAGAAAGATTTCACAATTTTACACAGACAACCATGCAATAATATCAGAAAAATAATTATTTTAAATGTTCTGATTCGGTAGAAAAGTTAGAACTCCAAAGCATATTCAATCGTCTTGAAAACTTCATAATATAATCAAACATAAGCCAGTACCATGTGTGCGTGTGATTACATGGCAGGATACGACTTATTGAGTGTTATTTATAGTAACTGCCATATAAGGTGTATCAATATAGTCCAAATCAAGAAAGCCCAACAACAACCAATTATCTTTTTCACACAACCTCATATATCATCTGAAAAAAGCTTTGTAAATCTTCAAAAAATGTAGACTTCACCTGAGAGTCTTGTAGATGTTATTTACACAGCCTCATAAATCATCTACAATCTCATAAATTTAGATTTAGAAAGAGATAATTTTAAACTTGACTATAGAGTATGGACAAACAACATTTTGTCCCTTTTGTTCTGTCTTTATTTTATTTTGGCAATAATGGTTCCAAAAATTACCAGATGTTTTTTGTTGCGCGCATGCTTTCTCCTTCCCCACTGCACGTTCTCTGTTTCTCCCTCACTCACTCCCACACACGTTTTCGAGGAACTATTGATTGCTAAAAAAGAAAGCAAAAAAAACGATAATACATTTTGCAGAATTTTCTCTTTAATAATCGACCACACATGTTTCCACATTTTCGAACAATTAATTAAATTTTTTTCTTCAATATCTTTCTACAGATAAGCCCATTTTCCCTCTCCTAAACCCATACAATTTAGGACCTGATGTAATGAATTGGTTTTTTTTTCTTTTATAAACAATTGGTTCTATCCTAGTGGTTTCACTTTTAACGGTCGAAATCCATAAAGCCATTTGCATAAATGATTCGTGCCACAAAGTTACTCGATAGCAATTGGGTACATCATTCAAACCTTTAAATGTGACTCTAAGAAAACACTAGTCTGCATGCATCGATCTCAAAATCTAATAGAATGATGTCCATTATACATCCACATTAAGTTTAGGACCCAATGAGAGGCCCTAAGTTTTGAAATCTCTTGAATAGATGTGATTGATTGATGTACAAATGATCCCTATTGACAAGAAGGGTATGCTCTTTCATTACAAATTACATACCTCATTTGATGTCAACTTGTCAAAGACATATGTAATTCACAAAGCTTCAGTTCACAAAAACTCGCTTGAAAGTGAAAACTCAAAAGCATACACCAACAAAATACTTATTAGTCTCACGAGGTCTTAAACTAATCATATTCATAACTACTAATTACCATTAAACTACTAAACAAACTTAGAAACTTCTCTTTTCTAACGAGCATCGATAACCGATCGAATGTGCTGTAAAACTGACCTTACACAATACATTTCAGAGAAAAACTTATAAAATTATTTTTAAACTTTCATCGACTTATTTATATAATTTCTCCGGTTTATTAAATTCTAAAAGATGCTAACTCTAAACTCTAAAAGATGCTAACTCTTTTTGTTCAAGTGCATTCTCCAACTCTCTCCATTAAAACAGCCTTGAGCTGATCCTGCGTGAAAAACTGACTCTCCATTTTCACAGTCGCTTGTTGGATCATTAAATCATTCACAATTGGTAAACTCACATGGTTCACTTCCAAATCCAACTCCTTGAGTGCTTCCATAAACTTAGCACCAGGATGATTCCTCTTACCGCATTGGATCTGTATCATCGCATCCCACCCTATGATCTTCACATCAATCTCCATCTCTATCAATATACCCAAATCTTGATTCGAAAACTTTCCATCTTTAACCAGGATTTTACATTCTCACTCGCCGTCTCTTTGCTCATCTCATCGACCTTCTTCTGCAGCTATTCTTTCTTAGACTCAGCGTTTTGCCACTTAGCTTTAAGCTGTTGATATACGAAATGGCGTCTCCTAAGAGGAAAGCTTTATCCATTTTAGATATGTCAGGAACCATAGCTCTTAGAGAGTAGAACCTCTAGTTCAGCTTCTCTCATCTATGCCTCTCTGCTTCAACATGATTCAACAGCTCTTCTCTTCCGTTCTCAGGTTTTCTCCCTCGTTTTCTCGGATTCTTCTCCGGTTCGACCACGGTTATGTTACTCTCTGATTCATTGACAACCAAAGCTTCAAGATCAAAGTAATTCGAGTCGCCGGATTTCGCTGGACGTGGCAGAACAGAGGTGAAAAAAGCATCCCTTCTTCGTTGCCGCCTGAAACCAAACATTTATTCTTGTCGCTATCTTCCTCCACAAACCGGATTTGACTGGAGAATCCGTTCTCTATCCTGTCTTAAAGCTCACGACGTGGTTTAGCTGGTTACTAGGGTCCACTGAGCTCCCATTACAAAGCTTCGAAATTGTGTGGGAACCTGAGTTTGAAGTCGAGTTATTACCGGGGTTTATCGCCAGAGCTACAAGACCCGGTTCGATTCCGGTGACATTGGGTTCACTGATCCACATAGCTGGATCATTCTCTCCTTGATTTGGGTTCAGATTAAATGCCCAAGAACCTGGCTCTCCTCCTCCGCCATTGTTGAAATTGAGAAAGCTGTTGACTTTATCAACCAGATCTGAGTTTTGCTGTATAATCTCTGACGAACCAAGCTCAACGACGCCATTTTCTGCCGGTATACACACGGTCTCTTACCCATACATCTAACCTTGACGAGCTCTCTCGCAGCTTGATCCAGCTAACGTATTTAACCCGTAGAGCCAAATCGTTTGCGAGTTCGAGAAAGCTTGACCAGGCAAATCAGAGCCGTTGATAAAGCTCTGTGTTATCGAAACCAAGAAGAACCATTCAAGGTCTGTGACTTCTTCGTCTCCTGCTTCATCGGAGCTGCCACCACCGTTAACCGTTCCTCCTCCTCTGCCGAAAATCAAAGAGTTGAGCTCTTGAATCACTCTCCTCCGATGCTCTTGCTCAGCCGCACTAGCTGGATTCGATTTCTTCCTCCTCGATTTCTTCTCTTCTTCTTCTTCTTTGTAATAGCCATCAGATAGACTGAAGGTGTCCATGGCTTTTATGAGAAAAAAGCCACGATCACAGAGGAGTCGAACTCGAGCTTTGGAGAAGAAAAAGGTCGTTGAAAGTGGCTAAAGTAAAGAAGAAGTGAAGTGAAGACTCTCTTTCTGTGAAAGGGTTTTATTATTGTAATCCTCCATCGTTTTACTATTGCATCGAATGTTATTTAAACAGTGTTACCCATTAGGGTTGATTATCTTATGAAGATCAAATATTAAATCCTCCTCTTTCCTTATCTCTTCCTCTTTTAACTTATTCTATTTCTATTCGAGTTATCAAACATTATCTTAGTAACGTTTAGGTCTTATCAATTGGTGCTTTCGTTGAGAGAAGTTTCAAGAGAAAATGACGAATGCTCCCACCGTTAGCGGCACCGAGCCCAGATCTGCGTCGATTGAACTTGAGACGAGCATACCCGAGACGCCGGTTCAAGCTCTAACTACAGATCATAACCTGGACAAGCAGGACAAGGAGATGATTTGGGTCCATCAAGGGCTGGTTGACATGATGAGGAAGATAGACTACCTGATGACCGGAGTTTCGCCGATAGGGTTCGCAAGCCCTATCTCCGCCACCCGACTAAAGCCACTCCCTTTACGCCGGAACAACACTCAGATCAAACCAGAGGGGAAGGGATCTTACCCCGACCCAAGGAAGAGCTCAGGATGAGACCCACAGATGGCTTCGCGCTTCCAACAGTGCGCTAGCTAAGGGTGGAGCTACCTCAGGCTCCAACGGAGGTTCCGTCTAAGTGAGTCGACCTACCGTTTTACGAAGGGAACAACCCGGAAGATCGGCTCTTTTGGCTGGAGAAATGTTTTACCATGAACGGGACCGCCGATGCTAAGAAGCTGGACCACGCTATCACGTGTCTCACCGGCACGGCAGGGACCTGGTGGCAAGGAGCTCAAGAGAGAGAGCACATCGCATCCTGGAAGGACTTCAAGGAGAAGTTCAAAGTGAGATTTAAGCAGAGTCGCGGCTGTTCATCAGTGGACCACCTGTTCAGTATCTTCCAGAAGGAAAGCGTGGAGGAGTATCGAGGAAGGTTTAAAGCCTTAGTTGCTGAGTTGCCACATGTGCCGGATGATGTGCTTGAATCTGCATTCTTACGGGGGTTAAGGAAGAGCCATCAAGACAAAGTGGTAAGATGCCGACCAGCAAACATTGCAGAGATTGTGGATATTGCAAAGCTGATTGAATCACAAGAAGGGGATCAAGTCAGCTACTTTAACCGGAAGCAACAAAGGCCACAAAACGCCTATGTTACTACTCCTATAAATGGTAGTACGGGGATCACTTATGCCAAGGAGAACAAGAAACCGGTTACTGGAAGCTCCTCGCAGGGTCCTAACCCGTGTAAGTTTTGTGGGGAGCCTTGGTTCCACGGGCATCGCTGTAAGCAGAAGCTCAAGTGTATGGAGCTGGAAGACGAGGAAGCATCCATTCACGAAGTGGCAGAGGAACAAAATAAGCCAGAAACAAGAGACCAAGAGGAAGAGCCACATGAGTTAGTGACTCTATCTCTACAATCCATGGTGGGGTTGACCACTGTGAACTCAAAGCAGATGAAGGGCAAGATCAAGGATCGTGAAGTGATAGTCCTCATAGACTCATGAGCTACGAATAACTTCATTTCAGAGAAGCTCGTAAGGAACTGAACCTGACTCAAACAGATTCGCGGGGGTTTGGAGTTTGAGAGGGAGGCGGTGAGATAATTCTTGGCAAAGGTAGATGATCAGGCTTATTACTCGATATCCAAGGAGTAGAACTAGTAGAGGAGTTCTTGTCCTTCGATTTGGGAAACATGGATGTAGTGCTGGGGTATACGTGGTTGGCTTCCTTGGGGGATACTCGCATCAACTGGTTGCGCAGCACTCTGAGTTGGAGAATCAGGGGGCTATGGGTTACCATCAATGGGGATCCCAATCTCAGTCGAGAGCAGATTTCACTCCATTCTATGGAGAAGGTCCTCCAACATAATGGTGAGGCGTACTTTTTGGAACTCACCACCTTATTCGCAAGTGCAAGTCCACCACAGGATCAAGAGCATTCTCGGGAGCTGCAAGAGGTCTTGGAGAAGTACACGAGAGTGTTCAGCATGCTAAAAGGACTGCCACCAGCACGTAAGAGAGAGCACGCGATCACACTTCAGGAAGGAGTAAGGCTCATTAATATAAGTCCTTACCGTTACTCATTCATCCAGAAGAATGAAATTGAGAAGTTGGTGAAGGAAATGCTTGAAGCCCGAGTAATACAGCAAAGCATTAGTCCTTATTCAAGTCCGGTATTGCTGGTTAAGAAGAAGGATGGAGGGTGGTGGTTTTGCGTGGATTACAGAGCGCTCAACAAGGCTACTATTCCAGATATGTATCCTATTCCCATCACAGAGGAGCTGTTGGATGAACTCAATGGTGCAACAGTCTTCTCAAAGTTGGATCTAAAATCAGGGTACCATCAGATTCGTATGAAGAGTAGTGACATCGAGAAGACTGCCTTCAAGACTCACCAAGGGCACTACGAGTTTTTGGTGATGCCTTTCGGCCTCACCAAGGTTCTATCAACCTTCCAAAGTATTATGAACGATTTATTCCAGCCATACCTCATAAGGTTTGTATTAGTGTTCTTCGACAACATTCTGGTGTATAGTGTAGACCTCACTGCACACCTGAAGCACCTCGAGATAGTGTTGGAGCTTATGCAACAACACCATTTATATGCCAATGCCAAGAAATGTTCTTTTGGAAACAAGGATGTGGCATATCTCGGACACCGGATCTCAGGCGAAGGGGTAGCAGCTGATCCTGAGAAAATCGAGGCAATGTTGGCTTGGCCAAAACTAAGGTCAGTGACGGAGCTGCATGGATTCCTAGGACTCACGGGATACTACCGGAGGTTCGTGAGGAATTATGGCATCATGGCTTGGCCGTTGGCAGAGCTCTTCAAAAGGAAGGGTTCAAGTGGTATCCTGCTGCAGATGAAGCCTTCAACATGCTCAAAACCTCGGTGACTTCATTTCCTGTACTCTTATTACCAGACTTTTCCAACCTTTCACCATCGAAACTGATGCTCCGGGTGCAGGGATAGGAGCTGTGCTCTCGCAAGGGAGGAGACCGATTGCCTTTCTTAGCCAACTTTCTCGGCCCAAGGAAGAGTTAAATCTGTCTATGAGAGGGAGTTACTTGCGATTGTGAAGGCAGTGAACAAGTGGAAACACTACCTTACTGCAAAAGAATTCATCATAAAGACGGATCAACGAAGCTTAAAGCACTTGCTGGATCAAAAGGTAGTGTCATCAGTTCAGCAACATTGAGCTGCCAAATTAATAGGTTTAAAATCGAGTATAAACCGGGAGTTGAGAATCGGGTGGCAGATGCTTTGTAAAAAAGACCTCACATAAAGGAGCTCAAACACTTCACTTTGACGGCTCCTCTAACCTTAGACAAAAAGGTTTGGCAGAACAAGTAAATGCTGATTCTGAATTAGGAGAACTGTTGAGAAGAGTTGAGAGAGGGAAGAAGGATTTCTCGGAGTACAGTGTTTACGAGGGACTTCTGTAAAAGCAAGGATGCTTATTGTTGCCAGCGGATTCCACCCTTATTCCACAGCTGCTGCAGCAGTTCCATTCGAGTGAAACACGGGGTCATGAAGGCGCTTTGAAAACGTATAAGAGACTGAGACAAGAAGTCTCATAGAGAGGAATGTGCAAAGATGTGGTAAAGTACATTCGTCGTTGTCAAATCTGTCAAGAAAATAAGTACGGAACACTCTCCCATGCAGGCCTGCTATCTCTACTGCCCATTCCAAAGCAGATTTGGTCTGACATCAGTCTTGACTTTGTGGAAGGTTTGCCTCTCTCTAAGGTTTTCAGCGTTATACTCGTTGTGGTGGATCGCTTGAGTAAATACGGCCACTTCGTTGCACTTAAGCATCCATTCACTGCGAAAGTTGTAGCAGAAGCCTTCGTACGTGAAGTGGTGAAGCTTCATGGCTTCTCGGAGACTTTGGTATCTGATCGTGACAAGGTCTTCTTGAGAAATTTTTGGTCAGTATTCAAACTCTAGGGATCCGCATTGCATAAGAGCACGGCTTACCACTTTCAAACAGACGATCAAACCGAGATGGTAAACTCCTGTCTCGAGACTTACCTGAGATGCTTCGCAGGAAGGAAACTGACGGCGTGGGTGCAATGGCTACCATGGGCAGAGTATTGGTATAACACGTCCTACCATTCTGCAAGTAAGTGTACCCCTTTCTCTATTGTGTATGGAAGAGAACCACCTCGTCTACTTTGTTATGGGGATACTCCTACGGCTAATGCTCAGGTAGAAGAAACTGCTGAAGGATAGAGACAGTCTGTTAGTGGAGTTAAGGGAAAACCTTGAATTGGCGCAATTAAGGATGGTTAAAGGGGCACACAAACACCAAAGGGATGTGGAATTTGCTGTGGGAGAGCTAGTGTATTTGAAGCTCAGACTGTATAGGAAACAATCGGTGGCTAAGCACAAAAACGAGAAGCTAGCTCCACGGTTTTTCGGGCCATATAAAGTGATAGAGGATTGGAAGAGTTACATACAAACTGGAATTGCCATCACATAGTGTCATACATTCGGTGTTCCACGTCTCGCAACTGAAAAGAGCCATTGCCGCATCTCAACAATCGCAGGACATTCCTGAATTCCTGAGTACAGCGCTAGAGTGTAACACAGAGTCAGAAGAGTTGCTCGATGCTCGCCGCTCAAATGCAAGCAACGAAACTGAGATACTGGTTAAATGGCGGGGATTGCCAGAATTTGAATGCACTTAGAAGTCTCTTTCTGAATTGGCAGGACAGTTTTCGTTAATTAACCTTGAGGACAAGGTTGCTTCTCTTGGGGGAGTATTGATAGACTGAAGGTGCCCTTGGCGTTTATGAGGAAGAAGCCACGATCACAGAGGAGTCGAGCTCGAGCTTTGGAAGAGAAGAAAGTCGTTGAAAGTGGCTAAAGTAAAGAAGAAGTGAAGTGAAGACTCTCATTCTATAAGAGGGTTTTATTATTGTAATACTCCGTCATTTAACTATTGCATCGAATGTTATTTAAATAGTGTTCCCCATTAGGATTGATTATCTTATGAAGATCAAATATTAAATCCTCCTCTTTCCTTATCTCTGCTTCTCTTATCTTATTCTATTTCTGTTCGAGTTATCAAACATTATCTTGGTAAGGTTTATGTCTTATCACCATCACCCCAGCCTAACAACGCCGTCTTTCTATTTCCTCCTCCTCCGTCGTCTTCTCCGGCAAAATCGTAAGATAATTGCCAGAACACGGCGTAAGTCCAAATCTCTTTTGCTCCTTCAGTTAGAGCTTGGAGTCGTTTCTGAAAAGTATCTTTGTTAGCCTGTGATTGCGCCGGAAAAGGAGCAGGAAGAGTAGGAGGTGGAGGCCGAAGGGAAGAGTGCTCAGAGCCGATGAATGCTTCCATCACCGACGCATCATCGTCGTTTGACCAGATATTTATACCGTTTATTCGGGTTGAGATGGTAATCAGTTAGTTGAACATCCGTCGAAGGAAACGTAACCTTCTCCGATGGACCTAAAAGAGAAGACTTTAATGTTCGCTGAAAGACAAAAAGGAAGTGGTGACAATGAGATCAGAAAGAGAAATTATTTTAGCAAATAGTCTTTTTTATTGTTGGAAGAAAAAGAAATCTGTATATATTAAAATAAAAAACTATAAATAGTTTGATGAAGTATTTTTTTTCACCAAATTTTATAACAAAGTATTTCTTGAGTTAGTTCTTTCAAGAGAGGAGTGATATTGTGATAGAACCAATAACTCAAAAACTAATTTTTGGCTTAAACATAAATCATATTAAATAGAATCGGATCAAATTTGTAATAGTGAGAAGGACACATTTTACATTGCGATAGTTAACAAGCCTGTTCGTTTGCCTGTCACAAGATGCTGCGTCTGCATCATGCGACAAATCCTTGTTCGTTTATCTAACACACTCTCTTGCGTCTAAACGCTGCGACCAGACGCTGCGTCCGCGTTTGGTTTTTTTGACGCGAATGAAATTTGGCGTTGCGATTGAAAAAGCTGCGACTAAACCTGTAATGCCTTTCTTCCGTCGAAACACTTTCTTCACCTTCGCTGAAACACTCTCCTCACCTTCGTCGAAACTCTCTTCTCACAATTCGTCTCAGGTTTGTTGATTCCTCTCTTTGCTTCTATAGAGTTTTAATTTCTAGATTTTTGCTTAGATTTCTCTCTCTTCCTCTCGTTTTGCTTTGGTTAATTTTGTTCTTCAATTATTCTATCCCTCAATTTGCTTTGTTCATTGATTTAAGTGCATAAGAAATTTGGGTTTATCATCATTTTCTCTCTGTACATGCATAAGAGATGTGGGTTTATCATCATTTGTGCTTCAATTGCTCTCAGTCTCTTTTTTCTATTTATCATCATTTCGATTTGCTTTGTGCATTGGTTCTCTTAGTGAAATGCATAAGAGATGTGGGTTTTGGGTATTTTTGCAGAACTTGATTCATTTAGGCTCAATGGTTGTTGTGCTCGTTCTATTTTCTGGTTATGGAATTAAGTTTAGCTTATACTCAAATATGTTTTCTTTTGCTATGGTTTTATGGTGTTTCATTAAAAGAAATGAGATTTAATTTGTCTTGGCAGAAAAAATAGATGTTTATCTTCTGCATAATGTTGGAGAAATGAGATTTGATTTCTTTTGTATAATGGCTTCGTAGTTGCAACAATTTGATTTGTTGATCGTGAGACTCTTGTTTTCTCTTTTGGTATGAAGTTCGAATGCAATTTACTTTACAGTTTAGGATTCAGTTTGCTGTGTTCAAGAGCTTATTTTAAATAAGTTTTTCTCTTTTACCTCTTTTAGTATTTGAGTTCTTTGATGAGTTACTTTGATGTGTTGCAGTTTATAGGATCTTATTCTTTTCAATCGATTTGTTAGGTTTGATGAGTTTTGTTACTTTGATGTGTTGCGGTTTATAAGATCTTATTCTTTTCTTAGGTGGTTTTGTTGCTTTGATGTTTGAGTTTTGTTGATTTGATGTGTTACGGTTTATAGGATCTTAGGTGTTACTTTTGTTGCTTTGAATCTTAACCTTAATCTCTCCTTTTCTTCTTTACTCCATCGCTGAAGCTTTGATGCTTGAGTTTTGTTGCTTGTGGTTCTTTTCTTAGGTTTAGTTTGAAACTTGTGGTTCTTACGATCACTTAGTGTTGAAAGTGATTTAAGTTGAGTAATTCAACTTTAGTTTTGCTTAATGTTGATATGAGACTTTGATGCTACTTACAATTCAACTGTGCTTACAACTAATTCTCTTTTTGTTTTATTTTGTTATAGGAGAAACAAGTTGATTCCTAAGACGTTAAAGAACCTAATTCCAAATTCCCGCGATCAGACCTACAACGACTAAACAAACAAATCTGCAGCGCTGTGATCAGACGCCGAACAACAATCCTGCGACTAAACGCAGCGTCTAAATGCAGTGTCGCAGCCGCAGTCGCCAGCGATAATTAACAACCAATAAAAAATGAAAATGATTTTTCACTTAAAATAATTATCTTGTCTCCCTCACTTGTGGTGTTTGGGTCAACGTCTACTTTACTTGTGATTAATCCCATCATTTGATTTTTGCAAGTAAATATCTACTTAATTATTCTCTTTGTATCAAAATATAAGTTGTTTTGAATTAAAGCATACATATTTATGCACTGTTTACTTTATAATTTTTTTAAAACAATTATTAATTTTTTAATAATAAATTAATAATAGTTAACTAAAGTAAAAAAATACTATTAAATCACATTATATCTTTGTTTTTAATTTCTGAATTATGTTTTAGTAATTAAAGTATTACTTTTTTGTCTAAGATTTTAAAAACAACTTATGTTATGAAATAAAACCAAATCCTCAAAACAACTTATATTGAAACAAAAAGAGTATACAATAAGTGACTTGTTAAATTAGTTGGTTCTTGGAGGAGGGAAATAGATGATCTTTAAGAAAAATGCTGACAACCAAGAACTCACAATTAGATTTAGAACTAACATTTTGGATACAACTTTAAAACTTTCTGAAAGTTATTTAATACTTATACACAAAATCATTAAAGCAAGTCCTGCAGATAAATTTACGTGAACCATTTTTTTTTTTTTATTGATATCGTGATCCTACATGACTTTTAGCATGATAAACAAAAAAATATAAAAAACATGGACACTTTCGAAATAAAAAAGGTGAAAGGGACTGGAGAGCATAAAGGCAAATAAAATGTCTCGTATTAATTAAGTACTTAATTTAATTAGATTTTTATGTAATTCTTAAAATTCTCTGACCTTAATGTGTCGCATTATGCTATACGACATAATGCTTTCTATTATATACGTTGTCGGGTCTCTTGTCTTTTTTTGGCCAAATGAAGATAAATTATGCTCTGTCTTTCTGTGAGAGCAAGTCCCCAAAATGTTGGTCACCGTGTGTATATATCCGACGAAACCTTATTGGTCTGTTGTACAGTGACATTTTGGAATCGTATTGGACCTTCTACAAATTTTGGCTCATTAGCAAATTTGGGCCGCAATGGTCTCACAAGCTTTCGCAATGCAGTAGTAGTGCTTGTCTCTCTTAACCGTGATTTTACTCGATTATGGCTTCCCCAGGTACGATTTTGGCTATCAAAACTGTATCTTGTGATTGAAGTTACTTGAGATATGTCATTAATAGTGTTAATTAATCGCTTTATCGATTTGCACTAATGAGAATTGTGAAAGAGAGCTTATGATATATGTTTGGTTATTCTTGTTGGTGATATATGTTTCCATTGAAATTCTTGGGTGGACAAAATTGTGAAGAAGGTTTGTTCAACTGTTTCGGATTTTTTTCGGATTGCGTAGAGACATACTTGTCGACTAATTATAGACGTTATTGGATACTTCTTGAAAGTAAATATTATTTTGAGCTTATGGTAGTCAATGGTCAAATAGCCAGATTATCCAATTGTATGGACTATGGTAAAAGTGGAAAATATAACGTTTAGTTTAGAGTACAACATGTGTCCTGGAAGTGGGAAAACTATTTTCTTTATTTTTACTTTTTAGGTTATGCTCATTGTGACACAACCAGAATAACCAAACATTGAGCATAAAATGTGTGTGAGACATATTTATGGAGATTTAAAGTCAAATATGAACCAATGAGAGTACAAAGGCATTAGATGAAACCGTTAGTTTGGGATTTCATTTAGAATTTTTAATCTACTTCTAATAAATGTTTAACTTCAGATGATTAGCGAAAAAGTAATCTTTGAATTGAGACTGAAGAAAAGTGGAAAATGATTTGTCAAAAAAAAAAAAGAAGAAAAGGGAAAATGATAAGCCGTTTCATCAGTTACCATCCATGTTGCTTCAGAAACGGAATTACGCACTACGTGTCGTTTCTAAATTCTAATTAGCTCAATGCCATTTTCGTAATTTATAGAGTTTATGCAGGGTATTACCGTCAGTCTGGTCAGATTAAATGTTTCCATCAAATGTTGCACACTACTGGTTTTTAGATTTGAAGAACAAAGAGGAAAAAAAAAAAACTAATAAGGGGTAGAAATTTTTTTTTGTCCCTGATTTCAAATTTTTTCTCAGTTCTTCCAAATTCCTTTAGGTTTTCTTTGAGGAGGTGATCTATTGTCACCTCTTCTGATTTTGTAAATCCCTGAATTTCGTCTACAATGGCTTCTGACAATCTCACCGACAAAACTATTGTTTTCAGAAAGCTGAAATCAAAATCTGAGAATAAGGTTCGATTTCATATGAAATTTTGCAAATTATGCTAATTTGATCTTTGAGAATCGTCTTGTTCGATCGTGTATGTCTAGATCTGGGGGTTGTTTGACTAGATCTTCGATTTTGGAAAAGATTTCGTTTTAAGCTAATTCTCGTTTTTTTTTTTTTTTTTTTTTTTGCTTTCTCTCTGATATTTAGGTATGCTTCGATTGCAGTGCGAAGAATCCGACATGGGCATCGGTTACATACGGGATTTTCCTCTGCATCGATTGTTCAGCTACTCATCGGAATCTCGGTGTTCATATCAGCTTCGTGAGGTAAGATTTAAAACTCGAGCTCAGATTCATCATCTGATTCGATTCTTCGCCATTATTGTATCTCACATTTGTAGCAATCTCTTGATTCTAGGCTAGAGTTTGAGCTTTTGATGGCATGATAGGTATAGTTCTAAAAAATGTAGCATTATGTTGACTGAATAGATACGATTGTGTTTTCAGAATTTTGACTTCAGTTTCTTAAAATTAGACTGATTCAGATTATCGATCTATTGACTACATAAGATTTTACAAGCTGCATCTTTGTCTCACTGGGTTTAAATAACGCCACATTACGTTTCTGAAGATGCTACATTGTTTGTTTGTTTTTGTATTTCTCGGTTTGGTGCAGATCTACGAATTTAGACTCGTGGAGCCCTGAGCAGCTCAGGACGATGATGTTCGGTGGTAACAACCGCGCTCAGGTGTTCTTCAAGCAGCATGGATGGACAGACGGCGGCAAAATCGAGGCTAAGTACACGTCAAGAGCTGCTGATTTGTATAGGCAGATTCTTGCTAAGGAAGTTGCTAAAGCCATTGCAGAGGAAGCTACTGTTGGTCTACCTTCATCCCCTGTTGCTCCTTCTCAGCTACCGGAAGCTGCATCTAATGGTGTTGCTTCTTATGCTGCCAAGGAAGAGTTACCTCCTAAAGACACTACGAGTGCGACTTCTTCGCCTAAAGCTTCGACTACAGTTGTGCCCAGTACGTTTAAGAGACCTCTCGGTGCTAAAAGAACGGGAAAAACTGGTGGTCTTGGTGCACGGAAGATTACTAGTAAGGTAAGTCAGTCTCGGGTTGTTTTCTTGTAGCGTTAACGTTTCTGGTGTCTTGCTCAGATTGAAATATCTGATTTTGGTTAAATGCAGGCGACGGTAAACCTCTATGAGCAGAAGCCAGAGGAAGTTGCACCGGTTGTTCCTGCTGCATCTTCGACTAACAACGGCGGAAGCAAATCACCAGCTGGTTCATCGTCATATACCTCTCGGTTTGAGTACAATGACGACTTGCAATCTGGAGGACAAAGCGTTGGTGGTACACAAGTGCTTAGCCATGTTGCTCCACCAAAGTCGTCAAGCTTCTTTGCGGATTTCGGAATGGACAGTTCTTTCCCCAAGAAATCTAGCTCCAACTCGTCAAAATCTCAAGTAAGTTCGTTGTTCTTAGTAAGAAAAATAGTGATTCGGATTTTGGAAACATTTGCTGAACTTTTTTCCCGTTCTTACTAGGTTGAAGAATCGGATGAAGCAAGAAAGAAGTTCACAAACGCAAAGTCCATTTCCTCTGCTCAGTACTTTGGGGATCAGAACAAAAACGCTGATCTTGAATCAAAAGCTACTCTTCAGAAGTTTTCAGTAAGTTTAATTTCGAACGAATTCAAAAGAACATTCTCATTCCCTGGATTGTAATGCCATTGTTGGAAATTACAGGGATCAGCATCTATCTCAAGCGCTGATTTTTTCGGTCATGACCAAGATGATTCCAATGTTGATATAACTGCTAGTGATCTCATCAACCGACTTTCTTTCCAGGTAAATGATCCATACTTCAAAATCTCTGCTTCTTTTTCGTCTTCTTCAGATTTTAACCTGTTTGATAAAATGCTTGATTTCAAATTGTGTGTTCAGGCGCAACAAGATATCTCGTCCATAGTGAACATAGCCGGAGAAACGAAGAAGAAGCTTGGAACTTTGGCTTCTGGTATCTTCAGTGATCTTCAAGACAGAATGCTGTAAGAAGAAGACGAGCGGCTCTCATGGTTTTAATTTTACAGAGAAGAAGAAAAAGAAACGAAAAAAGGCTTTGTCAGGAAACTTCTAATGAAGTTCACGTTTCTCTCTGTTTTTAGAAAGCTTTTTTTGGAATTCAGACGTATTTGTTGTTATCAACCTATATGAATACTATTGGATATGTCATAGACTTTATTAATCTTTGTCTGTTTGCAGAGAATTGTGTGATTTCATCGATTTAGTTGTTATGATACAATGTCTTGAATGTTAATCAGCAAAATGATAGAAAGATAATATGGTTTTGCAAGATTTTTATTAGTCATACATGTTCATGATCTTGCACGTTTTTTTAATTAAAAAACTTTTTTTTTCTTAGCATTTGATTCTGCTCTTCGATTTATAAAATTTGCTTTGCCTTTTACTATGATTTTGCAATTAATTAATTAATGATACAGAATCAAGAAACCAGTCACACCTTTTACATATGTTACCAATTAGCTATTAAGATTTATGGTTGACTGAGCTAATTATTAAATTGCTTAATCTTTGTTTAAGTATAAAATTTGTAATGTTCAAAGTAAATTTTAGTTTTATATTATTTTTTACCATACATTAGCTCAGTACCAATATAAAACATTTTCATATATGACAATAATACTATCAGAAAAGAGTCAAAATCCAATGTTGACCACCGACCTTAAAACAAAGTAATCTACCGTATATGGGAAGCATTTTTACGTCTTACATTTTCAACCTCAAAAGATAAAATCCATAAATCCTCTAATTCTTTATTTTTTATTTTCTGATTTACCGTACGATATTTCCCCAAATCTGTCTTCTTCACGAGGTTTTTGAATTCTTGAAGCGGAAAATCGACTCTTCACCTCCCATTGATTGATTCCTTGAGTTCAATCGACGAACAAATCCCTAATTTTCCAGTCAGAAAATCGAAACTTGGGGGGGGGGGGGGGGGGGGGGGGGGGGGGGGGGGATCTTACCCGAGTACGTTGCTAATGGATGATTCCGACTTATCTTCGTCGATTTTGCCTCGCTCGCCGCTAATTCCCGACCCTGTCGAAACCGTAGACGAGTCGTCTTCTTCACCAGTCGCGTCGATGAGGGCCGATGCTGCTCAGTCACTGGCTCTTTCGTCGCCAAATCGAGATCATGATGACCCCCCGTCAACGGATTCCTCAATTGCGCCTCGAAATTTAGACGGGTCCCCCTCTGCTCCGGTGAACGAAACCCTGATTGTGCATTCTCCGGTAGGTTTTGAGCGCGGTGATGAGTGCAATGGTGATGCTCAATCCATGGTGACAGAGTCTCAGATTCCGCCTTTAATCCACTGCGAGAGCAATTACCCGTGGTCGCAAGCTCCAGAGGAAATCGACGATTCATTCTTTGACATGTGTTCGTCGTCTTCGGAGAATCGCCAACAATGGACGCCCAATGTTTCCCCTGGGCATGACACTGATGATGAATTAACAATGGGATTTTTGACGCAGCCCTTGTTGAGATTGAAGGAAGAACCTCCGAAGATCGTCGAGCCCAGTGGTGTTGTAAGTTTCTGAAATCGTTTCAATATGTATCTTTTTAGGGTTCTTCTTGTGGCTATAGCTGTGTTCAATCTGATCTCTGAAATGCGATTTTGGCATTAACTCGTTAGGGTGCTGGACTTTTGAATCTAGGCAACAGTTGTTTCGTTAACTCGGTGTTGCAGTGTTTCACTCACACTGTGCCGCTTATCGAGTGCCTTTATACATACAAACCTCAAGATCCTTGTAACTGTAAGACAGACTCTCTCTCTCACAATGTGGCTTTTCTTTATTTTATTTTCACGTTACCTTGTAGTGATCTTTGTATATATCTGTTGAGTTTTGAAGGTGGCAATGAAGGATTCTGTGTTATAAAGGCTCTTCAAAGTCACATCGAGGCTGCTCTGACTACTTCAAGATTTTCAATATCTCCTTTTTATTTTCTCAACAATCTCAATTGTATCCTTCATCATAGTCAATCAACTGCTTTCATCATGCTTAAATCATAATCTCTGAGTACATTTGCTCTGCCTGCATATGTTTGATTTATCCTTAAGCTACCACAGATTTCTCTCCTCACTTCCAGCGTTACCAACAAGAAGATGCGCATGAATTCCTACAGGCATTCTTGGATAAGTTGAAGATATGTTGCTTGGATCGAACAGGTGATCAAGATGCTAACCTTGTTCAGCATGTCTTTGGTGGTCGTCTCGTGAGCGCGGTAAGAAGTTAACTCTAACCATATACACTTTATCAAAGCAATTTTCGGTAATGGGTTTTAAAGCATTTCTTCTTTTCAGCTTCGTTGCTGCAACTGCAACTCTGTTTCTGATACATTTGAGAACTCTCTTGGTTTGAGTTTGGAGATTGAAGATGTGGAAGATCTTTGGAGCGCACTATATTCTTTTACCTGTCTAGAAAAGCTTGAAGAGCAAATGACGTGTGATAACTGTAAGGAAAAAGTCTCAAAGGAGAAGCAACTCTTGCTCGATCAGCTTCCAATGGTTGCCACATTCCATCTGAAGAGATTCAAGAACAATGGGGTTTTTATGGAGAAGATCTTCAAGCATGTCGAGTTCCCATTGGAGTTAGACTTGAGGCCATATATGAGAAATAACCAGGATAACGAAGTATGTTTAATCTATCTCTCATTAATCACCCTTTTTAAGTAGTCAAAATTTGTATTTATCTAAGATGGCACACTTTGACACTTGCTTCAATTCTTTCTTCAGGTCAACACCAAATATCATCTTTATGCTCTTGTGAATCATTTTGGGTCATTAGCTTACGGTCATTACTACTCCTATGTGAGGTCAGCACCAACGATATGGCACAGATTTGATGACAAGCAGGTGATACATCTATCTAGTAACTTTTGGTTTTTATTGTTTTGTGTTTCCCTTAATTGTTTTGTGTTTCGCAAACCTCGGCAGGTCACTAGAATCGATGAAGGTAATGTGATACCATGGGATTCATATATTCTTTTCTACGCTAGAGAAGGGACTCCATGGTTTTCTAGAGCTTTGGAAGAAATTCAGCCATTGCTTGAACCTGGCAAGTACTCTTCGCCAAAGTCTGTCCTTGATCCCAGCCACGGGGAGTGTTTATCTGAAATCAGTAATGAGAAACCCTGCGACTCAGCGGGAGTATCTGACCTACATGTAAAGACAGAAGAAAACTTTGTCTCCCTCTCCAATGAGTCAAACGAAGCTGTGTTTCAGTCGGTAGAGTCTAGTGGCGAGGATTCTCCCATGATAGACATTTTGGACCCGCGTGATCCTGCAGATGAATATGATTCTTGTATTCCTCCATATCTTGAGCCCTCTCTCAAAAAAGAACTAGATTCCTGTTTAGCCGCTGGTGATGATGCTTTTGTGTCTCTGCTCATGTCTGGTAAGGAAAATCGTTTTATTTCATGTCTGTGGTAAACTTATGGAGCTTAGTACTGCTTGCTAATGCTTTGTGTGTGTGATTGATTGATGATTCTGTAGAACAAACTGTCCAAATTGAACTTGAGCAACTGGAAAACACAAAGAGCCAAGAGGAAGAAGATCCGTGCAAGCAGACATTACTATTAAGCGACATTGCAGATTCTAAGGAAACAGAAACTGTTCATATGAAGAAACCTTTACCTCACGGTAGAGAGTTGGACCAGGCCGTATCTCAAACTGGTTCTCCACCCAAAAAACTAAAAACAGTTTGAAAATGTGTTGCATCTGGATACAAAGTTTTGGTGATGATGACTTTGGTTAGACTAAATCAGGCTAAGTCGTTTTTGTTTCTGTGCATAACTAGTAGTTGCAGCTGGTACTTTTGGTTAACTCGACTTGACTTGGCTTTTAATAATAATAATAAAATAAAAACTTTAGATTCTGTCAATGGCTTTTGTTTTTTTCTTTCCGACGATTTATACCGCTTTGTTTTTTTTCCAACTCCAAACACCAAAGTGGCGACACATTCTTTTAAGACCAGTGGACTTAGAGAATTGGGAGAAAAATACAAAGTAAGAAGTAAGCAATACGGTCACTTTGACCACTTGCTTAACCAATTGTTCAAATTTATCAGTATTAAATAAGGATAGTGTCTGTTAAAAACCTGAAACAATCGTAAAAATGATATAAACAAATGAATATAACGACAAAACAAACTAGAAATCTAGATTAATAAGTTATTGAAATAAAAATATAAAGACAGTAAGAATATGACAGAAATATGAAAGCAATAGAAACATAGCCAAACAAGTTAGTTAACAGAAAAAACATTCAATTAAGGATGGAATCGAACTAGGATTCAGTCTCAAACTGGAAATTGTCTAAGTAACCACTATACCAAAATAGATATTTCTACAAGTTATTTGATAAAAGTGTGGCCTCAAGGCCTTGTAAGGTCGGATATACACAATGATACATTATTGAATTCACAAGGTTGGGAATTAACAATGATTTATCATGGGGCCAGCAAATTGTACAACCGCATGAAACATGGAAGTCTAATTATCGACGCAATGAGTACAATCTTATAATAATGCATGTATTTAAATAAGTACTTCCATACTTTATAGCTTATACCTATCAAATTTACAACAAAAATTTGGTTTATTATTATTTAGTTCAATTTGTAAGAAGAGAAAAAGTTAGTGATCGTTCCATGCTACGGCTCACACGGTTGTGGAATGTGGAAACAGTCTCCTCTCAGTGGTATTCCGATTTGAGCTAATCAACAGACTATGCATTGCTCCTTGGTCTGTTACTAGTTAGTAACTACGATCTCGAGCATCTCTAATTAAAGCTGCTACTTGCTAGCTTTCATAATCTTTGGAGGTTGGCATAACTACAGATTCGAAAAGCTTGAAAATTCTAAACGGACACAATATACTACTTTTTAAGTAAAACTTTTTTATAAATTTTTAGCTTTTAAAATAGTGTATAGAAATATAATGCGCATATTTGGCTTTTTTATGCTTTTTCTTAATCCTTTGAGGAAAGAGAAATTAACTCTTTGGTTCAATAAAAGAAAGAACAGAAATTAACACATTTAGTAAGACACAAAACATTAGAGCATTAATAATAGTTTGGAGGGTTTCTAAAGTAAAAAGAAAAAGGAAAAATAAAATAATTAATGAGGTGGCAAGATTGAGAATCAGAATCGATTCTCTGCACACAAACTGAAGAAGCGTCTCTCTGCTGACGTGGTGAGATGTGATTTACCAAAAAGATTTATTTTGTTTTTTTAAAAAAAAAATCGATTTTCTTTTAATAATAAAAAAAATTTAAAATCTTTTCATGATGATCTCTCTAATACTGATGCTCTTAACAATAGTTGCTTCGCATTACAAACCAACAAATCCATAACTTCTTTTTGTATATGCTAACAACTTAAAGTAGGTAAAACCTGATAATATCGTATTATAATCAACTAAAATCTCTAAAACATATGTCATAAATTACTATGTTAACGATTACGTATGTAATGGGCTTGGCAAATATATAATTTAATTATCAGGAAGCACACAGCAATTGGTTAGTTTAAAGAAAGCCGACCGGTTTGGTTCCGGTCACTTTGATTGACCTCTTTGCTTAGCCAAAAATTCAATTTCGAAATGAATTTACTAATTATATTTGAAAACAGTGAGTACAAAGTGTCAGTAAAAACCTGAAGATTATTGGACTATGAATATTAAATGCTGTCTTTTGTCGAATGTCTTCAGAGAGGAAGAAAAAAGAAATATCTTCGTCCGAGACTATTGAACTTATTTCGTTTTATATGGTTAATAACCGAAAATAATATATATATTATATATTCTAGAAATTTAATAAAAAAAATGGGAATGAACGATAAGCAGCGGGCCCACGAGGTCAGATATGGCGTGCCGTGTCCAAGTGCTTCAATTTTGACTAACTCGTGCTTATTTAAACCAAAGTTAACATGAAAAAGTTATTTGCGTAATTTAAATTACTATGATGCAATATTGACTAACCGGATAAATTACTTCACCGTTGACTAAACGTTCAATTTTTGTTTCTATTGCCAGTATTTTAATATTTTTCTTGTTTCTTACTAATTGAGGGTAAATAGTTCGTGTTTGAAATTATAAATATTTTGCTCACAAGTGTATATTATAATTTATACCAAATACCACATGAAAATACATAATGTAGTAGTTATGTGCGTAATCTATAAAATACTCCATAATGGAATGGAGATAAAATGTGATCAACGCAATTATTTTTCAATTAAAAAGAAAAACACAAAACACAAAATATTATGAAAAGTAAGAAAATAATGTGGATTGGGACTATCAAAATTTTGAAAGTCAAGTGGCGTCCTTTTTCAAAGTCAATGGACAATAAAACGCAAGTAAGACTTGTGCGTTCCAATTTAAAATGTCAGCACACATTTTTAATTTCTTTTACAAAATACTGATTTTCTCACCAATAAAAGATTTATACTGTTAAATACTAGTTTCAGGTTTGTATAGAAAAAATTGTATCTAATATGATGTTTCAACTTTTCAATAGAAAAAAAAAAACGATTTGGCATCTTCCTCCATCTACCATCATGCATGACAAATGAATAAAAAGCTGTTATTATCATACGACGTCTACACACTGCATATTTTAATTTATATTTCCCTGTCGTCATTCTTTTAGTTTGTTATATACATTATAAACTTATAAAAGAAATTAAAGACACAGTATAGGATTCATGAGGTTGCAACAATGATTATCATCGGGCCAACAAATTATATATCCGCATGATACTTGGTGGTCTAATTAACAACGCAATGAGCGAATCTTGTAATAATAATAATACATGAACTTAGATAATTAATTCTAGGATTTACACCTGTCGATATTTAATTAGAACAAACAAATTCTGGTTAGTTCAATATGTAAGGAGAGAAATCTTTTCGGCAAATTTGATTCAAATATTTTTTATATAAAAAAAATTTGACATATGATATTACGTTTAGGGAACATATTGATTAACCAAAACCCAATGTACTGTCATAGCAGATGAGAGACATGACAACGATTCAAAAAAGTTTTGGTATATAAAACAAAATTAAAGTTATGTGTATGTATGAATTTTCTATTATGAAAGGACATTAGTTAAAATGAAATTTCTCTTTTAAGTGATGCATATTGGAATAGTTAGTACTGACTTTGCTATGCTTATTTACCTAATTAAATGGGAACAACAACCAAACTCAGGCACTAATAAACAAAAGGGTGTGTTGTTATATAATCACCCATCTTTTGACCTAAATTTCTGCATTAATATCCTGTTTGTTAATTATAGTACTCTTTAAAAAGCATAAACAAGTACACATGGATTAGGTTTATTATGTCCAATTCATGAGCTTGTCTCCGCTTATTGCTCGCTTTTAAAGCTATAACAATGGAGTCTAATTATTGATAACATCCATCTTCTTATTATATACAAGTATATACACCAATAATAAGAAGAAAGTAAAGTGCGATTCACACTTGTTCCAACTCATTCTTATGCACATACACGAATTAGATATATTACGAGCGTGCACATACATACACGTATACATATGTTTTCCATCATGGCACCAATTTGAAATAACGATTTTGGAATTGTTTTGTGATTTATTATGATTTTACCGTATATTTTTGTTCAACAATTACGGATCTAACTTAACATTCAAATAGTTTTTGGAGACAAAAAAAATGTTGCTGGTTAGAATTGGTTATGTATTAATTGAGATGGTTAAGCAAATTTAACAAAAAAGTTACATATTTATATTTATAGGATAAAGTATATTTATATTGTTATTATATAGTACCATGTAAAAATTAATAAGAATAAGTAGGTAAAAAAATAAGGGACATACAGAGAGACCACCTGATGGAAGAAACAAAGAACATATAATGGAATTGTAAAGGATAGAGATGAGATGTCAAGCTACAATAATGGAGCAATAGTTTTCTCCACTTGGCTAAATATAATATCTAACACGAAAAAACTAACTTTTCCAAAATTAAAATTAAAATTAAAAAACACCATATTAATAACGAAAGGAAATTTTTTTTTTATATACATAAATGCTTAATGTGTAATCCCAACCGTCCAACAATAATGTTGTGCTGGAATGCTATGTAACCGAAAGAAATATTAACCAGTATTTAAGACAAGTCCAAATAATGATACAAACATATTCCAAAAAAAATACATAACAAAATAGGTAAACTAATATTAAAAATATAGCATTTTTGAGAAAAAAAATTGTAACCAAAGCTGAAATATATTTAATAAAATATTATAAAACTTAGGATCTTTCTAAAAAGTGGGTAAAATTATTGTAAGATATGTTTGATAATATTGTTTTAGGATTGTATGTTTAAGAGAATATCGCAAAAAAGATATGGAAAAAAGATTTTCTTATATTGGAATAATATGAACGAATTATAGTAATATACAGTATATTATTTGAAAAGTATATAATTGAAAAAAAATAAGAAGGAAAGGCGAAGGAGGTTCGGTTGGTCGACTTTGCTAAGATAAGAGAGACTGACTCTCTTTTCTCCTTCCCCATTCTTCTCTCTCTAACCTTCTCTGCAAGAAAACTTGTCTCTCTCTCTCTCTCTCTAAAACCCATTTCTTTCTCTCTAGAAAAAGTTCGAAGCTTTACTCGATAAAGAGCTCTCATTTTTTTCCTGCAATTAGGTTTCTCACGAGAATGGCAATCGAGGATCAAGAGAACACAATCCGCGAAATCAAGCCTAAGAACAGAAGAATCATGGTACTTCAAACAATACACTTCTTCTAGATTTCTACTATTACTTCTCTTTTCTTCTCTGTTCTCCAAATGTGCAATGGTTTGTGTTTTTCGATTCGATTTCTCATGTGTTAATTTTTTTCTTCTTCTGGGTTTGGGTTTTTGATTGAATTTGAAAAT